AGAATCTGTTATTCTCTGCTTCACCAAAATAGCTCCTATTTAGGAAGAGAATAGAGGAGAAGGGATTGGGTTTTACCACCCTCAGGGGTGCTTTTTCACCCTCCCCCCTCCATTGCCAGCATGTGGGTCCTATAGTAAATTTTTAAAAAGGAAAAAGAAAGGAAAAAGAAAAAGAAAGGAAAAAAGGAAAAAGAAAAAAAAGAAGATGAGCAATCTTCCTTAACTTAATTCCTCATCAAGGTATATGCTAGCACATTCCAATTCATGAAAAATACTTGATATGTAATAATGCTCAGTTTCTAAAGCACACACATCCTAAGGGTAGACATTATCTCCTCTTTCCTTTTAAAGAAATAGAGCTTCAGAGAACTTAAGTGACTCAATGGTCCCTCAGCTAACTAGTAAAAGACCCCACCCCCCCATTTGAATTCAGATCTTCTGATTCAAGTTCACTTGAGTCAAAAAAGACAGCAAAGTGCTGACTTTTCAGTACATAACCAATTCTCCACTATTCTCTCTCTTCAATTTTCTTGACATTTCTACTACTGTCTTTCTGAGGTTTTTGTTTGTTCGTTTGGTTTTTTGTTTTGCTTTGTTTTTTGAGAGGATTTTACTATAGGGTGCATGTGCTCACCATAGAGACAGAGAGACAGAAAGCGAGAAATCACCTCCCAGGGGGCGATGGCCACGCTGCAATCCCTTCTCCTCCATTCTCCTCTCAGGATCTTGGGCATACACACACAGGTGCCTGGCGTGAGTTTAAGCCACTGTGTTTGGGACTCGAACCGTGGTCGACTACATGGGAGTCCAGTGACATAGCCATTATGCCAATTGCTGGTCCCTGTCTTTTTGAGTTTTATGGTTCACATGCCTATTTCAAATCCCCATACTTTACTAGAACGTTATCACAACAAGCTTTCTCTAACATGAATGATCCGTATGACTTGTACTGATTTCCAATGCTTCACCCCTTTCTGTGTCTACACCAGAAGATGTAATTTTCTGGTATAGATACAGCCCTGTAATTTTGTACTACTTTCCAGTCTGTCTTTGGGGTTGGCCAGGAGACATTACCAGAAAAAGCTCAAGCAGAAGCTTCACAAGCACTTCTTTCTGCTTTGCTCTTATGCTTCTGGAATGACCATGAGAACCTGTCAGCACTGGCCTATTAGAGAATTAGACATGTCATAGAGCTAAGTGGCCACATGTGGCCAGCCAAGGCCATCCTAGAGCTGACAATAGTAAGTGTACAAACAGATAACTGCTGGCATAATTTAGTCCAGCCAAGATCAACCAATCTAAGTTCAGATCAGCTGAATCCCAAACGCCTATTTTTATGCTACTGAGGTGTTACATTTTTTGCTACAAAGAAATACTTAAGCAACAGATAACTGATGTTCAAGTATTATGTATTTCACTCAAAATCAAGTAACAGGATAATCTTTCATGATCACCTTATCTGGTAACATATTCACTCAAAATTCTACAGATCATACTGTGTATAAACTCCTTTCCTTAGATTTAACCACACATATGAACCCACTATTGCCATTATACAAAACATTTTTATTCTTACTCTACAACCTTTCATCAGACAGACTTGTTGGTTATTCTCCTTATTGAATTCATATTTAGTCTTTTCTTTTCAGACACTGTCTTATTATGTTGCTATCACTCTGCCTCAAGCCTCCCAGCTGAGAGTATCGGCACAAGGTTTTACTATACCGTGCAGGGCACTCTTGAGCATGTGATCTTCCTGCCTTGGCCTTCCCCAAGACCCTAGGATTACAAGCATACACCACTACACTGGGACTCTAGGTTGATCAGTAATCAAACCCCGGCCTTTCACATGGTCCTTCCTGCAGAGCACAGTGTGCTGCCACTGCTAGACTTAGTCTTTTTCAAGAAGGAAAGAAGGAAGAAAGGAAGGAAGGAAGGAAGGAAGGAAGGAAGGAAGGAAGGAAGGAAATTAACACTAAACAAATAAAAAAAGCAGGGCTACTGATAGTTTACCTGTCTCCTTTTTGCAAATTAGGGACCCCAAGTCTAGCCTGAAAAACAGAGTATAGGCTGAATTGCAGCCCCACATAATTAAGCAAGGTCCTGTCTACAAAGCACTATGCTATACATGAAATGTCCTTAAACCTTTTCCAACGTTTTATTAAAAATATTTCTCTAATATCTTCTCCATAAAACTTTCTGTAATCACATGCCAATTTTATACCTCAAATACTTTTCTTATCTTCTTCACAAACTTAGGTCACCATTTAATAATAGACTATGAACCCTTAATACATTCTATGTAAGGCAATTAAAAGTAATTTTAAATATTTATATGAGATGATTTTTTGCAATAAAAGACAATTCCCCTTACCTCTTCTCTATATATTATCAACATGTATATTAATAACTGAGAAGTAGTCACCATTTTCATAGACATCTAAGATAGCTTATTTTGTCAATATTCCTAGTAAATTATTCTAATTGTTCTAATTACATGTGTATATAAAATTGAGACCAGCAGTTGGCGTAATTGCTATGTCACTGGACTCCCATGTGGTCGACCGTGGTTCACATCCTGGACCCGGTGGCTTAAAACACACACAGGGCATGTGTGTGTGCATGCCCAAGATCCCGAGAGGAGAATGGAGGAGAAGGGATTGCAACGTGGCCATCCCCCCTGGGGGGGTGATTTCTCCCTTTCTGTCTCTCTGTCTGTCTGGCGAGTGCACGTGCCCTATAGCAAAAACCTCTCAAAAAATTAATATTTTAGATTATTGGATAAGACAAATATAAGCATTTCTATATTTCATGCTTTATAAATGAATTAATATTTATTTATATCTTGTTTTTTAACCGTCACAAACTAACCTGTGAGTTATTAATATTAACCATTTCTTGAAGCATGGAAACTTTGAGTCCCAACTCAAGTTGATTATGTGTGATAGGGACACCCATAAACAAAGTAGTTCTTCCTATTTTGAGTATATTGCTCTTTTTACAACAAAATGCATAGATCAATGTATTTTTACTTTAAAAGCATTCACTTTAGGCCTGATCCTCTAGTGGTCCAGAGGGCTATAGATGAATAAGACATGCTCCTATTTTCAAGCAAATTATAGTTTAGGTTGGGAACAGGAACAAAACTGATAAATTGATTATAATATGGTAAGTGACAAGGTTAAGGAAGACAGAGGAAATGTACCTGGGATTTGGAAAATACTCCTTGGGATAGATAAGATCTTGGCTGAGATGAGAAACTTGTCCAAGATATTGGGAAACGACATGTTAGACAGAGAGATGACTATGCATGAAGGAAAAAGACGGAAGTAGCATGGAGTTTGTTGGAACACTGTACACAGTACAGTATTATTCAAGCATATAGTGTGATGCATTTAAAAAGGAAAATGTGTAGGTCTTGGAGGAACCTCCATATTGTTCTCCACAATATACAGTGATTGAATGCATGAAAATTACACACACACATATAATTTCTTCTTATGTTAGGAGATAGAAGAAATAAGAGCAATTGTACAGATTGAAATGTCTACTTTAAAAGAAATAATCATCTTTTTTAATTTGCAAGAGGGTGATATGCACTCACCAGACAGAGACAGAGAGAAATAAAGAGAGAAAAAGCATCCCCCAGTGGGGCATGGTCACACTTAAATTCTTTCTGTTCTATTTCTCTACCCTGTCAAGATTTGGGTCATGCACACATATGTTCCAGGCATGTTTTTCAAGCCACCGTGACTGGTATTTGGGTAACAGTTGGTCATATTAAATTCAGCTACCTTAACCACCAGGCTTCAGGATGGCCTGAAAAATAAAATTCTTTGTGAAGATAATATAGTTGTCTTTTGAAGTGATAAACACATTGTTTATAATTAAACAAACCAGTATACCAAAAGGTGAGAGTTATAGGCAATGCTATTTTATCTCAACATAAAACAGACGGACTAAAAATGAAATAGACTGGAACCCGAGTTATTCATATAGGGTATGGGATTGCCTAAGTGGTATGCAGGGATCCTTTGTAATCTGAGTCATAAATATCTCAATATCACACTTTGAGTTAAAAGCACAACTGGTATTAGAATTTTATCAACTTTAATTACATAGCTTTTGATATTTATAAAAAGGTATTTGTTACAAGCCATATAGTTATGGAGAGACGCCAACTCTTGCTTTATTGTCTTTTAGAGGGTCAGTCAAACTTCTGTTTAAAAGGAAACTATGGTTCATTGGCGATGATTATTAAAAACATAACTGATTTTATAAAAGACACAGTTACACTATTTTTAAATAAATTTACTCATCATTAACTTTGTACACAAATAGGCTGGCAGTCCTTGTTTTTCCTCTAAAGTGAGAATCCTGACAAAATGTATTTTAAAATAGTCTACAATGTTAAATTTATCAAAATAAGACTGAAAATTGCCCTTTCTGTAATTTCTGAAATATTTTAAAATAAAGAGAAACAGATTGAAGGATCTTTTGAGGGGCAATAGTAATATATCAATAATTCCAAGAATTCTAAAACAGGTTTCAGGCCTTTTTAAAGAAAGATAAATGAAATAATAATAGGCCAGCAGACACCACACTATCATTCCCAAAGACAGGCCACGTTACTGAACATGGAAAATACACATTTCCAAGTTTATAGTTATGCTTCAAAGCAAAATGATTAACTAGTCCATATTCTGGTGATCAAACACTGACCAAAAATTGGTTTTCTGCTCCCACCAAAACATTCAGATAAAATTTTCAAGAAATAGATCAGATAGAAACTCATGCTTCTCCTTGTCCATCAATATTCCATGATTTTAAGGTTTTATGTGAACTTATTTTTCTATTCTTAAATTTTTCTCACCAAAACATGCATATCATATATATTAATAGGAAAAACAATGAAAAGAATTGGTATAAAATTAACCAAATTTAAATCTTATCTTATTTTCAATTGTAATAGGAAGGAAAAATGCTACCGGAAAGCATACCTGTGGCAGAGCTGAATTGAGCTGTCTCTGGAGTGAATCTCGGTCATAAATGACATCCTGAAGTCTTTGCTGAGCCAGGGAGAGGCTTTCCTGTGTCTCTCGAAGGGTATCTAGAAGACGATCCCTTTCATCTAGCATATTCACCATCAGTTGCTCAAAGTGGGAGTCTGAATCCGAACCACTGCTCTGGGACCCCCTTTGGCTCATTGGGGTATCCTCATTAATCGTGGGCATCACTTCACACATCATTGCTTGAAGAAAGCAAAGGGGAGGAGTCTTAGTAAAGAAATGATTTCCAATCATGCCACCTGCCATCAATTCACTAAGCCTTGCAGCTCATTAGCCTAATTATTCCCTTTTACCACACACTACCACAACTCCAACTAAGCTAAATGTTTTGACCTCAATGTAATGTAATCTATTCACTTCCTCCAACTGACATGCTTTTTCTTTCATGTCAATCCACATATCACCCACCTAAAAACACCTTGGGTTTCAGGAGTTTCTCAAAATCTTTATTCTTTTTTTTCATGATTTATCCCACCTCATTTAATTTATATAAACACTTTATTTATTTATTTATTTATTTATTTTATTTATTTATTTTTTTTTTTTTTTGAGAGATTTTTGCTATAGGGCACATGCGCTCTCCAGAAAGACAGAGAGAGACAGACAGAGAGAAAGCGAGAAATTGTCCCTCCGGGAGACGGCCACATCGCAATTCCTTCTCCTCCATTCTCGTCTCAAGATCTTGGATATGCACGTACATGCACCTGGTGTGAGTTTAAGCCCCCAGTCTAGGACTCGAACCGCAGTCAACTATATGGGAGTCCAGTGACATAGCCATTACACCAACTGCTGGTCCCTCTAAACATGTTTTTTTAATGATTATTTCATCACCTATACTCCTCTACAAGTTTACAAATCTCTTAAACTGAAACCACTAGTCTACCCTTCTTTATTATTACCTTGGCAACAGCAAGGACAGCACCTGGCACTTAACGATAAGAAATAAATGATTTTTTAATGACAGATAATTGAATGAATGCTCACTCTTTATTTAGGAAATCTACAAATAATTGAGTATTCCTTTTATCTAATAATCAACTTTTATTTTCTTATTATATCAACAGATTTTTTTTACACCAAATATTGGGTATCAGAAAAGTCATGATGCATTTTTGCATAGAAAAACACAGAAAAACTGCATTACTTTTCTGATGAACTAATAGATTAGAGTTATGGATATTCAACTTCCATTTTATTACTTTTACATGCCGTCTTCCTAAATTCCGACATTGGCCTATACAAAGTAAATAAGTGATATTCATGCATTAGACATAATCTTCATGAAATAGACTGAGATACATACATTTGTGTAAGTTATTATACTACTAATTGCACTTAATATTCCTTTGTTTCCTGTGGGCTGTTATTGTCTAGTTTCCATTCAGACAATACAAATAACATTATTTTAAGTATTCTATGAAGCAGATACCATAAATTACATTAGCTAATGTGGTACCTTCACGTCTTAACTGCTAATCACAAACCACTAGCCATGACATAAACCAACTATTCAGAATATTTTTTTATATTTTATTAATTTGATTTAAAATATTCACCAGAGATATTAAGATACAACACTGTCCTATTATATGTTATCTTAAAAATCTGAAGTTATCTCATTTGTTTTCATCCCTTATCTTACGTTTGAAAAAACAAAGTCATCTCAATTTCAATTGTTGTACTATGGCCAGGAGCTATTAATTAGAGGGCTTGGTTTTGCAGAAGGCTAATGTGGAGAAAGGCTGGTTTGGCTGTTGATCCAGGAGCATTCTTTGGTTTTATAATGCAAGGTCAATTCACTTTTCAGCCTACATATTCTTGTCCTTGGGGAAAATATTCCTGGTGATATTTTCAAATAAAATGTCAAGATTTAACAGCTCAATATTTAATTACTTTCTATGTTATTCTTTATATAAATTATGTTATTGAGAAGAGAAATTCAATTATCTGCTAATTATTTGGTCAGAGTCCATGCAAAAGTAAGCAAAACTTTCAAATAAAGAAAAGGTAAGCATTTTGTGACTGATAATATATATATATCAAACTAGGGGGTTTCTGAAGATTAGGATAATTCAATATGTTTTGAAGTTTTGCTCATCACACAAAACACTGAGCTACCTGAAGGCAGGAACTTGACTTGTTCAATTTTGTATTCACCCCCAACTAAGTAATAGACACATACACTGTATTTAAACACGCATGCACACGCGCCACTATCAATAACCACATGATGGATGAAAATAGTTTTGTGCATTTCTTCTCCATTTGACTTTCATTCAAATATTCTCACAAAGATGGCAAAAGCATTCTTTTTAACTGCAACAAATTTTCTTTATATTAATTAGAAAGGAATTAGAAAACAAAAACAAGATGTCCCAACACATTTTATGATTTAAAACAATTAGTCCATACGCCATGCATAAAATCCTGAAGAGCTGTGTCATTCTGAGACATGATTATCAGGAGCCAATGTCTTTATTTTTGACAGTTAAGGTGAAAGCAAAGCACCGGAAGAGGAAATGATAGCATTGTGATCATTTGTGCCAAAAAATGCAAGAACTGAATTGTAAGCTCATTGAAATATTCTTACATCTATATTTTAAATAATATTCTTTTTGAAATAAAGTTATTAGTCCCTTACCACTCTGAATGACTTAGAACAACTTTCAATTCCAAGAAAAAAATATAAATGTGGCAGTAATCCCAAGTGTGATTTGCACCTATGTACAACATCCTGATTCTAACAGTTGCTTATTATCACCATGAGACACTAGACGTTCACAAACTTTCAGTTCTTAGACCAGTGTCAAAGATGGTCTTTGGTTTAGTCGGTCAAAAGATGCTATGAAGAGAAAAACTTAGGGACTTAAAAAGTTTATTAAGTCTACATTCAGAAGAGCTTGGTTTGATTTTGTTTCTGATGCAGATGAACCAGAGTAAGTCACTTTACCTCTTAGAACTTCAATTTTCTCTTCTGTAAAGTAGGGATAATAATCTATGTTCAATAAAACCAAAAAGCCCATTGTAAAGATGCACTGGGTTACCTGACTAAAAACTCACAATAAAAGATATAAGCTACTATTGCAAATTCAAATGTTTATCACTATTATAAAGTGACCAACATTCACATTTACAGAAATAGTAATCTACCTTTATGATTCATTCTGCTTCTCTGTCTAAAGGTTTAAAGCTAGTGGATACTTCTGAACTCTCCAAATCTAATTTAAAAAATCAAACTATGTCAAAGTATTTAGAAAATAAGATGTAAGTATGTTTATACATATATATGTATAAACATATATATATATATACATATATATTGCTTTTTCTTCACAAATAATCAACCCAACTGAGTTAATCCAAAGTTTTCTCATGAAAATTAGAAGAAAATATACACCTACATAAAATAAGACCAACTTCATGAGCTAACTTAGTTTCTTGCATTTGAACATAGATTCTGTTTAACATACATTACAAAATATTTAAATAATCCTTAAAATATGGTATGACATTTCTTAAATGCACATTTTGAGTATCAAAAGTAATTAAAAACCTATATTCAATGCAAGATTTAAACACCCTTCTGTAGAATTGATGGCATCTGAAGCAACTAGCATGTCCCAGAAGTCGATGATGATTTGATTTCTAGTGTATTTCACCCAGATATATACCACTTTTAATGTTTATGATCATTTTCAATATTAAAAATTGCATTTATCAAAAAAATTGCATTTATCACATAATTCTGGAGAAAACCAAAAAGGTCATATTAATACTTTGTTGTGATATTTGCCTTTATATTAACCCCTTCTTTCAAATCAACTGGATGTAAAAAATTATATTATTCTCATCTAGATGTTGATGGTTTGTACATTAAATTACTGGAGGTTTCAAGACCTACTTAGAAACATTCGTTAATTTTCTTGTGAAAGAAAAAAAAACTTGATTGGCTTAATTATCCTAGTGCTTAAATTTAGCCTGAAGAATTTTGTACCAGGAAAATCAAATCCCTCATTCTTAGCACATAACCTTGACTGTCTTCTAAATTGCTCAGATTTCAAAATAAAAGTTTCAAATGCCCACTGGAGTCATTATCCAAGGATTTTCAAGATGCAGTGTGTTCCTTAACAGTACATGTCATAAAAGCAGTATCTATTCAGATATGAGAGTGCTATGAAAGGCTTTTTTATGTCAATGGTTAACTTTATTTAATCATTTCACTAGTATTTAGACTGAACTAGAGACATAGATCGATTTTTCCCTATAAGCGAGTTTCTTCGGCAAAGATTTGGTCTTAAGACCCACCCCAGGTCTACCTCAGTTCACCCACAAGGAGTAATTTGTGAGAAAAATTCTAGCCATTGTCTGATTACATTACATGAATATTCCTCCCGTGGTTTAACTCTTTGAAACCCCTACTCCTCAGGAAATATTGTCATCATCTCTAATGGAAGCATTTGCACTTTCTCTGTCTCAGTGCATTTACTGATGGCCGAAGAGCCAGCTGATCCCACACTGCTGGACACTTATCTTTCAGCCACACCCCCCACACCTGAAGAAGTTGACTTCACAATTTCCACGCTAAAATTGTTCACCCTGCCCAACAGGAGAGAGAGCCCAGAAGGCAGGAGGCAGAGAAACAGGAGAGGGTGAGGATGGAGAGGAAAGCAAAAGGTACCTAACCGGAATCCACAAGGAGGAATTCGCATCTCATCTTCCCTGGGGGCGGGGTGGGGCCGCGGAGGTGGGAAAAAGAAAGAAAGCGCAAGGGAAACCGTGTAACTAAAATACAGTTTCTGTACCTAATGTCTGTAATTTCGAGTCTTGCTTCTTCAATTGATCAATGACAACCGCAGTCTCCGGCGTGACAGGAAGGGAGGCTCACACCCAGTACTCCTGGACCATTTCCCTAGCAACGGGAGGAGAAAACCAGCTTAGACACACGCGTGCCCCGGCGCCCTCCGGGAACGTGCACCAGCTCGGTGGCGTGGCAGCACCCCGGCATCTTCCCGTGGCTCCGTCAGCAGCCAAAAGGAGAAGCGTCCATCGGAAAAATGGCATATTACAAATTTTGCTTTGGGAAGCAGAGCTCGGTTCAGACCATTGTCAAAGGGAGGAGCGGGGGAGGCGGCTCTTAAAGCAGCCGCGGCCTCTTTGCCTGAGCAGTCGCAGCTCGCCGCGTGCAGCTGGAGCCCTGGGGCGGGGAGGGGGAGTGGGGACTGGGTTTGACTTTCAGAAACTTAACCAAGCGGCGCAGTTCCCCTCCGTGCCCGGGCCACCCAAGGCGCCTCCCAAATGGCAGCTGTGGGGAAAGGCATGGGCACTATCTGGAAAGCAAGTTCTCCACCCACTCCCCAACTCGGAGCCCCTCCGGAGTTTACGGCTAACGCCAGGAGTTGGGTGGCTAGGAGGATGCCAGTCCCCAGGGATCCGAGAAGCTGGACAGCTCCCTTCTGGGCCCCCAGCCTGCATCCACGCTAGGGTGTCTCTGTCTCATTCACTTCAAGGAGGCGCTTCTTCTCCCGAAGAGCAAGCACTCTCCCCCCCAACACACACCCATTTCCTCCTCCAGCCTCTGTGCGAGCCTCCCGGCTGGCATCCGTCGGCCCGGAGGACCAACCTGCCGGGAGCCGAGAGGACGCTACCGCACCTTCTCGCCTCACTTGCCTGGTGCGATTGCTGCTCCTCCTCCTTCTCCTCCCCTCCTCCTCCTTGGCAGCCGCCACCTCCTCTTCCTCTGGAACAAGGGCTTCCCCTGGAAGCTGCTGCAGTGGTTTCCACCGGCCCTTAAATAAATTCTGAAGTAATCACGTCTTTGCTCTCCTCCTCACGCACACGCGCTCACGGGTACACTTGTCTCCCCCAGAGCCGCTCCCGGGCGGCTGAGGCTCGCGCTGGTCCCAGTGTCCCCGGCGAAGACGAGGGCTGGCAATGGGCAGAGACGGGCAGCGTGTACGCTTCCCCCCACCTGGGCTGCGCCCACACGATGTTCTCTACAGGAAAGCTGGTGTCGGCCCGCTGCTGCGCATGGGGACGGACTCTGGCACCTTCGGGCTCCCTGGCCTTCCGCACTTGTCATTTCTTGAAGCAGTTTTCTTCCCCCTGGACCAGGGCATGGTAGTCAGGGTTGTGGAAACCTGGGTCCATCTAGGGTGTGGCGACATCCACCACTTGTCCTTCCCTCTCTAGTTCTTCTCCATTCATTGCCTTGGCGATGAGGCTCCAGTGTTAAAAGTCCTCCCTGCGCGAGCGAATTCCCTTCTAGCAGTCTCCTCTGGCTATCTCTTTCCAGTTCTCCCTCTGCCTACACATCTCTTCACCTCCTCTCCTTTCTTTCTGCCGCTGTCCATTCATATAGACGCTTCGGGGGTAGGGAGGGAGCAAGAGGCAAAACCGGTACCCACTCTAAGCAGCATGGAAGCATTTCAGTCATGGGGAGTCACATATTCCTAGTTTAGTCTGAAAAGGAGAGGGCATGCATGAGGGAATTGGGGAGAGGATGAAAGATTGCATGTAATTTGAGGGTTAGTGCAAATAGCTTCAGGAGTGTAGGGCAACAAATCCAAAATGTACGTTTTACGTGTGCGAAAGGCAAACAGTCCAAAGTCCACAAAGAAACAGTCCCCAAATGCTGGCACACTGAAGCGCAATATTCGAGAAATAGATGATTTCTCTTTCGAGGGTAGTAATTAATCCAGTTGGTGACTCTACAGTGTAAAGTCTAGCTCATGTATTTACCCCCTTCTCCTCTAGACTGTTATTCCAATTCTGCATCACAACATAACCCCATAACCCCGTGGAAATCAATTATAAAGATAATATGAAGATTCACTGGATGGTGACTGGAGCAGTATTTCTCACGCATAATGTGCATATGGATCATGCATGGATCTTGCTAAATTGTAGATTTTGATTTCCTGGGACCTATCAGGGTGAACCCTGAGAATGCACTTTAATACTCCCAGATGGTACCACACTTTGAGTAACATGACGAGAACATCCAATTCAACCACTATTTGATGTGGCTTACATTAACCCTTCATGAAAGGGAATTCATTATTTCACAAGCTAGTCCAGTGTATTTTCAGACAGAGCTAATATTGTAATAGGTTCATCATATTAACCAAATATCAGTACTCTTAAAACTTTGTGAGACTCTCTGGAGTCCCACAAAAGACTTAAAATGTCCATTATACATGCGAGAGCTTCATTTTTTTTTTTTAGAGAGAGTTTTTTGTTATAAGATGTGTGTGCTCACTGGAGAGAGACAGAGACAGGAAGCAAGAAATCATTCCCCCAGGGAGATGGCCACTCTACAATTCCTTTCTTCCATTCTCTTTTCAGGATTTTGGCACACATGTACATGTGCCCTGTGTGAGTTTCAAGCCACTGGGTCCAGCTGGGTCCAGGACTCGAACAGTGGTAGACAAGGTGGGAGTTCAGTGCTTTAATCACTATGCTACCTGCTGGCCCTGAACTTCATATTTTTAATGATACTATTAGGTTTAACTGTATAAGAATTCTTTCCTATTTTGTTTCTAATTTTCTTAGGAATAAACATTTGCCACTTACAGGCTCAGATGTTCTTTCTAAGAAAAGTTTTGATTTGCCTGACTCATTTTCATATCAAATAAAAGTTTTAGTTGTTCAGTATAATCCACACATTCAATTAGTTCATATCACGAAAAGTAAAAATTTGATAGTGGAAGTTATTAGAAATGATTATTTTGATGAGAAACTATAGACTTAAATCTTTTATTATTGTTTTTAAGTATGTGATAGGGTACTGTGTTCACCAGAAAAAGACAGAGAGAAAGAGAAAAAGTGAAAAATCACTCCCCAGGGTAGATAGGTGTACTGCAATCCTTCTCTTGTATCCTCTCAGAATCTGGGGCACACATGTGTACACACCAGAATGATTTTCAAGCTGCCAGGTCTAGGACTTAAAGTGCCCAGCTGGTCACATGGAATCCAGCTGCTTTAACTTACATGCCATCTGCTGGCCCCTAGACTTGTCTTTTTGATAAATTGCTTGTTAAAATCACACAGTCAGATGCATTAGAGTTCATCTAAGCTATCCCAACTCAATCAAAAAGTGTTCCCCTTTTTGAAAATTTAAATTGACACATACTTGTATCTATGTATGGGGTACAGTGTGATTTTTCAACATATTAATACAATGTGTAAAAATTAAATCAGAGCAATAAACATATACATCACCTCAAACATCTGTCAGTACTGTATGTTGAGACATTTACAATTCTCTCTTTCAATTACTTGGAAAGTAAATTATTGTTAACTATAGGTATGCTGTGGAACCTATATTGTACAGGTATGCTATGGAACACTAGAATTTCTCTTATCTAACTGTCATTTTGTATCTGCTAACCTACATCTCCCTATTCCCCTCCTCTCCCTTCATACTCTCTAGTAGTCATTCTATTTTATTCTTCTATGAGAACAGTTTTTTTATTTTTCCCATGCAGTTTTTCTCTTTCTCCATCTGGCTTATTTCACTTAACATGGTATCCTTCAGGTTCATCCATGTTGCATCTTTCAGGCTCACGCATGTTGCATTAAATACAAGGTTTAATTCTTTATAATGGCTAAATAGTATTCTAAAATATATATGTGACACATTTTCTTTACCCATTCTTTTTCATAAACACTTAGGTCAATTCCCTATCTTGGCTATTGTGAATAGAATGCTTGCTTTTATTTAAAGCAAGGGTGAGTTTGTATGTAAAGAAAAAAGTCAAAGAGCTCAAACACCAAAGAATCTGATTAATTAAGTATGAGTCATGAAAATACAAAAAATTAGTAAATGGGAGTAATTTGTCTTTTAAGCACAAAAATTGTGGTAGTGCAAATGGAATATAAGTATTAGAAGTAACAGACATGTTTATCTAAATATCATTTTATTTCAACTATATAGTTATACATTTATAAAAATATTTTCCTGTTTTTAAAACAGTCTATGTTAACATTATTTAAAAAAAAACTGAACATTTTCCACATTTATGTTTACTGTTCAATTTAAAATTTAAGATGAATTTATGGAAATAACTCTCATTAGACACAGTACCTATAGTCTTGTGAAAACTTGAATTTTATTTGATTTCTGTTAAAAAATATTACCATGTGGGGCCAACAGGTGGCCTGGTGAAGGTGCTATACTACCACAAAACTAACCATGGTTTGAATCCGAGGTCTGGCCACTTGAAACTCACACCAGGCACATGTGTGTACATGCCCAAAATCCCAGGAGGAGAATGGAGTAGAGGGGATTGCAGTGTGGCCATCCTTCCTGGGAGGTGATTTCTTACTTTCCCTCTCACTATCTCTCTCTCTCTCTCTGTGCCTCTCTGGTGAGTGCAAGAACCCTATGCCAAAAAAAAAAAAAAATCTTTATAAAACACACACAAAAAACACAACAAACATGCAGTATAAGGGTACTTCAGGAAGTTCATGGAAAATGTGGATTGTGAAAAAAACTTCTGCATGGATTTCAACTTTTTTTGCTCTCCAATTAATTCATAATTTAATTCTATTTTTCAGGAACATTCTGAAGTTCTTTCATATTATCATACTGTATTATTGAGAATGGGGAAAAAAAAGAGCAACTCAAAATATACAGTCAGTTGAGCCTAATTTAAGTTTACTTTTCACTTTTTGGAGTAAACACATCTACAACCTAAAATACCTTGGTTCAGAAGTAAAACACATGTTTTTTACCTTCCACCGGTAAAAAGAACTCATATGCTAACATCTCATTACAACAAAGGCTGGGAAAGTAGCTAGCCTTAAGATCAGAATAAGAAAGTGGTTTTTCATTAAACTTACCCATAAATTGTTTGTGAAAACTATGATCAAAATAAAAAGTATGTGGGACCTGCAGTTAGCATAATGGCTATGTCGCTGGACTCCCATGTAGTCGACCACGATTCTAGTCCCGGACCTGGTGGCTTAAAACACATGCCGGGCATGTGTGCATGCATGCCCAAGAGAGAGGAGAATGGAGGAGAAGGGATTGCAGTGTGGCCA